TCTCCGCCGCCGCCCTGAGACCGCAGGAGCGAGCCCGCGCGTGGGCCCGCGCCCGGAGCCAGCGCCCTTGCGCCCTCCCCTCCCTTCAGGCTGAGGAAGTGCCTGCGAGCCCGTAACGACGACCTGGAGGGCTTCGTTCTAGTGAAAGTTGTAATCCTCCAAGTTAAAAAAAAGCCGGTGTAGGATTTTGTGTGTTTCGCGTGTGCATGCATGTACATGTACACACACGCATACGCGCACATGCACACCTGTGTCAGACGTAGGTCCGTATGTATCCGTAGGGCACTTTTTCTTCCTTTGTTTCTTTTAAATGACTAAGCCGGCGTGTTTGGAGGATGCGACCTGGGCTTGTTTTCCAGACGGGGCGGCCGGCCGGCGCTGTGGGACCCCAGCAGCGCCTGCTTCCTGGGGCTTGGAGCACTCAGCGAGCTGGTGCCCACGTTGAAACAGGCCTGGCACCGAGTACCATCCTCTGCACGCTCACAAAGCTGAAACAGTCCCCCAGGCTCAAGATTATGGGCTTCCCTGGCCCTGCTTTGCCCTTGCTCTGTGTGCTGGTCCAGGCTGGTGTCCTCACAGGGGAGCCAGGGGGGTGCTGTTGGGGTGGGGGGTGGACACAGTGGCCCCAGCAGTCATTTGTCATGCTCGGTGAAGCGGCTGGAGAATGCCCATTCTGATAGAGTGAAGAGACTGGGCTGCAAGGGGCCAGTGCTAACGTGGGGCATTCCTGCTGGGCAGACGCTCTCCTGCTTGTTAGTTGGGTGCTTAGGCCACAAGGATTGAAGAACTGATGCTTACAGGAGGACGGGCTGGCAACCCTTCTGCTCAAGAGGCAGCTCCATGCTCTAGATTAGTTCAAGACCAGCCATTTGGAATTCCGGACAGCAGGGGCTGTCACACTTGGCGTGCGTGGCCAAACACCAGTTTCTGGAATCCAGGTTTCTCTGCCATTCAACCTCCACAAGTCACTCTGGGAGGCTTTCTTGATCCCAAGTGTCTGAAACACAACTGCAACAGAATCCTCTGGCTCCCTAAAGAGGTTTTACTCTGAACTGAGCCCAATGAGGAAAGCTTGGTTTTGGTTTCATGACAGAGTGTCTGAATGAACAGGGGGCTTTTTGGGGTCCTAAGAGATCTCCTTCCCTGGATGTTTGGGGTAGTTCCCGAGGACCTGGGAGGGTTTTTAGGGAAGTCACTGCAGGCCGCATGCTCACACGTACCCTTGCTTCTTCTGACCTGTGCTCAACTTTGGGGAAGCAGCCATTGGCTCTGAGCGAAAGAGCTGCGTGCTTGCATATGTATGAGTCCATTCTGGCCCCAAATATGGGAAAGGGGGAGGGAGAAAGGAGCTGATAGTACATCCCAGCACTTGGCACTGGGGCAGGGCTGGGAGCTAAGAGACCTCTCTGTGGTGTTGGACTCCTAAAGCCCTGCTGGAGGTAGTGGGCAGATATTTGAAGCCAGAGGAGGCTGCCATGGGGATGCTTCTGGCTTCCCCACAGCCCCTGTACTGCCTGGTGCCGGAAGGGTCAGGTCCTGGGAAAGGTGCTTTGTGTGGTCGGGTCCTGAGGGCCACTTCCTGCGGCTGGAGCCCTCAGAGGGACTTGGGCAGTTGAAGAGCTGGGCCATGCAGGCTGCCAGCTGGAGAATGGCTCCATGTCCAAGCTGGCTCCAGAATCATTTTCCATCTTCTCCGGGCCTGCATGTGTCCTCATTCGTGAGGCTCCTCCCTGCCTATCAGTGAGGTGTCGGGACTGGCCCCAGTTTCTCCGGTGCTGGTCTGCAGAGCAGTCATGGCCTGGGTGGGCTGCAGCCCCCTCTGTGAGCTTGGAGCAGCTCCTCTGTTTGTCTCAGGTCCTTGGACTCAGTGGGGACCCCAGGAGCCATGCGCCATGGATGGAGCAGGTGTCTCCAGCACAAGCCTGGGGGCCTGTTGTTGGTCACCTTTGGAGCAGTGCTGCCTGTGAGGGTCGCCCCACACCTTCCCCATGGGAGCCGAGAGGCGGGGTGGGGGGGGCGGAGGAAGAAGATGGTGGAGGTACCAACCCCGGGGCACACTTTAGATTTTTGATGAAGGTCGAGTCTGCTGCGAAACTTATTTTTCTATATAATGAGGCTTTTTGATGCCCAGAGAACAGGTTTCAATATTAATCTGGACATTTGGACTCTGGCAGGTTCTACTGACCTTTATTATTTATTGGTTTGCTTCTGTCCCTGGGGAGGTCTTGGAGCCTCGGACACGGAAGCTGCCGCAGTCGCAGCAGGAACTCCGAGTCTGCAGGAGATGGCAGCCTATTCCAAGGGCTGAGTCGGCCGGGTTCCCGTCTGGCAGCATTTCCCCTCCAGCCTGTCAAGCCCCTCGCCTCAAAGAATCACAGCCCGCGGCACTAAAACCACGGCCATCGGGTTGTTGCTCTAAACGATGAAGCTGGGTTTTGATCAATACCCTTCCTGCCAGAAGGAACAGTTACAGAGTCGAAGGGTTGAAATAAGAGGCTAAAGGAGAGAGGGATTGTGAGAGCCTGGGGAGGAGGCGTGACTGTCAGTGACATTCAGAAATGGATGGTGAGTGACCGAGGTGGAGGAGCGGGGACCGCTCCTGTTTCAAGTGGGGCGCGCCGCTGTGTTTGCTTTGGAGGTGCCCTTTCCCCTTTTACTATGAAATGATTTTCTACCCAGTGACCTTATTACCAGGGAAAGAGACGGTTGCACCACTGAGTAATGCAACACTGGGCAGCGATGTATTGACACGAGCTCACGAATTTCATGTGATAAGTGTCCTTTTTTCTGTGTTTACAGAGGTAGGAATTGAGACAGAGGAAGCTGAAGTTACTTAGCAAAATTGCTACCAATTAAGCTTTATTTACTTTTTCGACTTTAGAGAGAATGTGGTGACATTTATTTGTGACATCAGGGTTAGGAACCTCTTAATTGCAATTTTCTCTCCTCCTTCTCAAGGGACAGGAAGTGCTTGTGGCAGAAGTCGAGGCTGAGAGGACCGAGGAATGGTGAGTGCCCACTGCCTGTCATAATCCCGACCTCAGCGCTTGGACACTGGGACTCACAGAGACGAATGCCTGAGACCCCTTGGAAGGCGGAGGGCTGCCTCCTGCGGGCCAGGAGTGGGGCCTCCCTCAGCGCTGCATTCCAGAGTCACCATCACCAGCCCCCACGGCCTGTCCCAACCCTGTGTATAGCCACAGACCAGCTCTGGCCCCAGGGGTCCAGGGTGCCTGGAATTCCAACAAAGGAGAGTCTTTCAAGAGGAGGTTGGTCTCTCCAGTTTCATTTGGAAATGCGGGTACCCCCATTGAAGGTAATAAATAAAGCCTGCCCAGTGACAAGGTGGGCTGCTCACCTGGCAGCCATCGCCTGCCGGGAGCCCCTGGGGTGGAGCCGGGGCCAGGGGGTGACATAAGGGGGGAGATGGGACTGGCCACACACTTTACTGATTTTACCCTTTGGCTCCACAGTGGAAACCTGGATGTGGACAAGTCCTGGGAGCTCAACTTCTCTCTGTTGGGCATAACTGGGGGGGAAGGAAATTGTTTTCCTTCTTTCTTACTCCGTGGTTCCCCCTAGGCTGAGGATCTGCACCAACTACTCAGGGGCCAGTGGGGGAGCCCATGGATGCCCGACACCCGCCTTGTTCCTGGGCAGGCCCATGCTCTGCGTGCCCCAGGCTGGGTGCTTTGGGAGGAGCCTGACTTCCCCTCCCTCCCCAAGACACAGCTGCTGCCCCAGCTCCTCACTCTGCCTTAAAGGTGGCCTGTTATGAACGCAAAATCCAAACAGAGAACCAGTCCTGACATACATGAAAGCCCAGGGGAGGTACGTCAATTCATCCAAGTGCCAGGAGGCCCTTCCTCTTTTTTCTTTAATTAGGTAATTGATCAGCAGCATTGATCAGAAAAAATGCCTGGCTGACCATATTCTCGGATGAAGGTCAATGATGTTAATTTTCAGTCTATCAGTTTCTGCCTCGGGCACTCAGTGGAAGGGATAAAGCTGTGCAGGGTGTCTCCGGGTGGGACCCAGGACAGCTGTGCCCTCAAAGGGGCTCCAGGAGACTTGATTTCACCAGCCTATGTGACAGATTACAAAAAGGGAAATCGCCATAGACAGACTCTTTTTTTTCCCTTTGGCTCAAATGCTGGGCCTCCCTCCTGAGAGGGAGAGGTGGCTGAGCAGAGTGTGAGCGGCCCCCTTGCCTCGTGCCCAGATCCAAGCCCCCCTCTTCCCTCCAGCACACATTTCCTTCCCTAAACCCCAGATCTTGTCAGCATTGTGAGAAAACCTTAGGCTGAAAGGTGACAATCACCTGCCTCAAATGCCGAGAAAGCTAGAAATTGCCCACAGTGAAGGTTCTAGGGTTTTGGTTTGTTGACTGTTGCCTCCTTCTAAATGTCACGATTCTTTGTGTTTTAGCTTCTTGAAGGTATGCCTTCGACAGTCTCATCAGTCTTTGGAAATGGCAGCTGTGTTTGGTGCCTGCCCAGGTCCTGTCCCCTTCCTACTTTGGTGTGTGTCAGCCCCACTTCCAGCACCCGGCACCTGCACCTCTTTGCTGAGGGCTCTTCTGCACCCAGTCACCATGCTAAGGGTGCCGGGAGAGGTTCTCAAGGACACTCTGGCTGGTGTGGAAACGCCCAGCTCCTTTACCCTGTCGGGGGGTAACTGAGAGCCCCCCACAGGATCAGTCTCACACACCTTCTCCTTGAGCACCTGGATGTATAACTTGTTTACCTGGGACCACCTTTCCCCAGCTGCAGGGCCCTAAGCAGAGGGAGGGGTTGGTGAGGGGGAGAAGACTGAAGCGCGTGTGACAATGGGCAGTGGTGGCTCTCAGCCTGGTTCCAGCCCTGTCGTGAAGCTCAGCTTCAGTCGCCCTTGGGTTCCCTGAGGACCCCCTTGTTGGCCTCTGCTGCACCTGAGCTGGGGCCTCAGTCAGCATCCAGAGCGCCCACCGTGGATACGAAGTCACATAGGGTGGAAGGAATGTCCTGCGTGGCACAAACAGTGTCTGCTGCAGTCACAACAAACAACAGGTCACATCTCATCCCTGCGCCTGAGTAACCAGATGTGGGAATTAGCAAACTGGAGTGGCTGAATAACGATTCCCAGTGTGTTTGCAAAGGAGCTTCTAGTACAAACTCCCCTTCTGCCCTCCCCAGCGGCACACACTGGGGAAATGGGTGCGTCACTTACGGGAACAGCAAGGACAGAGCCTCGGAGCTCGCCTCTGGGCTAACGGTTCCTATTGTGTAGAACGTGCTCGTGGCAGCATCCAAACGCACACATCTCTTCAATAAATAAAGCCGATTGCTAAGATCTTTCACCCCTGCTAGGTTGTGGCCTCAGCCCCTGCCTCATAGCGTCAGGGGGGAGCAGTGGCACATTGCTCACCTACTTGCCCGATTTCCCTCTTCCAGGCTGTCAACAAATGCCTCCTTTAGACCCGGGCCCACCTTTTCATTTGCCAAGTATTGGCGCGGTCCTGCCTGTGTCCCGGCGAGTGTGCGCAGAACCCCGGCTCTGACGGCTGAGTGAGTTTTCCTTGTTATTTTTGATTTGTGTGCCTGGCTCCCTCGCATCTGGCTCCATCATGGCAGGTGCCCTCTGATCGCGTGGCGAGGCACTGTCCCCCAGGTGTCGCTCCCTGCGAGGACGCTGCGTGCCACAGTGCTTCCCAGAGACGCGTGGGCTGAGACGCCACACAGGCTGCCTTCGCACAGACACCCTGAGACCCACGGGGTCCTGTTCCCACAGCCCAACACATCCCACGAGAAGATGCAAGGAGGCCACCCCTTGTGGTGACAACAGCTCCTGAGAACACTGAGCCTGGTGCACACGGCAGCAGCTCTGGAGTCAAGACACCCAGTTGTGTCTGGCTCATGGTGACTCTCCAAGCGCCAGGGACAAGGCGGAGGCCTCCGAAGGCCCAGCTGAAGTGCCACTTCAACTCATTTTGGGGGCATTTGATGGGCTGCTGCCACCCCTCCCCACACTCTGTCACAGTTAGTTATTCCTCCCTCCAGGTGCCTTTCTACTGCATTACTGGGCTGATCTCGGTCAAATCTGAATCCCAGTGCCTGTGCTCAGCCTCCTGCTGGGCCACCTGCTCCTTTAGGGTGGGGGGCTTACAGTCATTTGTTGCTCCTACACAGGGCTGTTTCAGGGCAATAATTACACAGGGCTGTTTACCGAGCAATCATCAATGTGTATCTGTTGAATGAATAAAAGTAGCTAATGACCAAGCTTTGCAGACGTCCCACATCCCCAGCCCCCTTTTCCCCTGAGTCCTGCTTGCCACCCCTCCAGTGTTTGGGCCAAACAGAGCCAACTCCTTTGTGCCATCTTTTGGGGCCGTGGGTGTGCAGGTTGCCCACTCAGATGTGCGGGCTCCCGCCTCACCTGCTCCATGCCTCCATCCCAGCCGCCCTGGGGCCAGTTTTGAGAAGCATCGAGCGCCCTGAGAGCCTCTTTCCACAGAATAAATGTTCTGAAAAACGCTGGGAAGTTACATCTTTATAAATTGAATTTTCCCTTTTTTTGGTAGATTGCCTTTTCTTTAATTAAAGAATATTTTATCACTTTTAGCTTATTACAGAAGTAATAAATGTTCATCACAGAAAAGTCAAACCTCACAGGCATTAAAGTGCACACAACCCCACCTGTCACGGAGACAAACTTTCAACACCCCGGTGCACAACCTTCTAAACCTTGGTGCCTGTGTGTGCTTGTGTGCGCATGTGCGAGTGTGTGTGTGAGTGTATGTGCACGTGTGCATGTGTGCGCGTGTGTACATGCACGCCCGCTTCTCTTCCTCCTTGTATAAAATCGGACTCAAACCCTATTTAAACGTGCTGCGGGAGCTTGCTACTTAAGAGAATTCTGAAATGATTCCTTTGGGATGTGAATAATTCCACTGGGATTTTTTGTGGTACTGGCTCAGGCAAAATCTGGAAGTCATAAAGTATTTATGGCTGGGCGGGTGTGAGCCTGACAATCTGAAAATTCCTCTCTCTGCCTCCATATCGGTACACCTGCCCGTCTCCCGTCCAGCCATCCATCCACCCATCCGCTGGCCTGTCATGGATCTCCCATTCAGCGTGGAGAGTGAGAGAGAAGCGCGGGGGAGCGGGTGGCTCGGCGGGGTGGGCTTGACGGGGTGCCCTCGGCAGGAGCCACGCACCCAGGCTGCATACTCATGGCGTTCCCCCGGGGCTGGGTCAGAGGGCCTGGGGGACCTCCCTCCCTGCCGCACAAATTAAAATCGCTCCATTACGTGCAGCACAGAGCAGACTGGCTGAAGATCAGCATCTTCTCTTTGAACAACATAATTGAATGTCTCTCAGCCTGAACCCCTCACTGTATTGATTTGAATTAATTATTTGTGCATTTGTAATCTGGCTTCTCCTGCCCAGGAAGAGTGCCCTGCATTGAAACACTGCGTGGCTGCCACCTCCCCAGCAGTCACCTCTGGTCAGGAAGCCTTTTGCAGCTCTAAAGACAGTTAATCACTCAAATGGAATGAGTTTCTGCTGATAAAGGAGAGCCTTCCCTGCGAAGCCGACAGTCCGTTTAATGGGCATTAGCGTTCTGAAGAGAGGCTGTGTCTGCCGGAGTGGAGAGCACTCATTCACTGGGGCCCCGTGTGGACAAGCTGTGGGAGGGTCATTTTTACCCTCGAGGGTCGTAGTGCTGGGTCAGCGGAGGGGGGTTAGGGCATCAACCCCACGCCTTTTGGTATTTATTTTATTTTATTTTTTATAAATATATCTTTATTGATTTCAGAGAGGAAAGGAGGGGGAGAGAGAGAGAGATAGAAACATCAATGATGAGAGGGTCATTGATCGAGCCCACAACCAGGGCATGTGCCCTGACCGGGAATCGAACCCCGATTGCCTGGATCCCAGGGCAATGCTCAACCTCTAAGCCACGCCCGGCAGGCGCCTTTTGGTATTTAGGGCATAAGAATATGTTCAGCTGCAACAGCTGAACGGGGAATTAGTTGGTTATGTAGATACGAGTATGTTGGTAGATTGCACTGTAGACACACTACAGACTTTCAAAAGCAAAACAGAAAATTTTGAATACTCCCATTTACTAAAAAAAAAAAAAACAACACAGAAAAAAATCAACATTTGCAAGGAAAAGAAAACTCAGGTTATCTACAATCCAATTTTATATCTTTGCCATGTTCTTAAATAGGAGACTGGATACGGTTGTTTGAAACATCAGTTACTCGCTTTGGGAATGGGAGCCTGGTTAGCCTCCAGCCTTCTTTGCTCCAGGCCTCTGCATTCTGGATGGCTGCGCTGCCTCCTGGCCCCGTAGGGCCAGCCAAGTGACCACGCTGTCAGCGTGGGGCAGGGCAGGCTGGGGCAGCAAAGGCTACCTGAGTGCGCACGGATTTGCCCACAGGCGCTCACAGACTGTGTGCCTGCGGGCACAGAATGGCAGGGGGCAGGAGTGCTTGGGCTTGGAGGGCAGTGTGGGGCCTGCTGCCTCACAGGGGACAGCTGCTGCATGCTGCCTGAAGGCCCGCGTGGGTCAGCAACATGAGGTGCCGTAACCAGGCACCGAGTATCACCCTGTCGAATGCAGGGGCTCCTTCCGTGGGCGTGGGGCCGGGCTCACGCTCCCCAGCATGTTCTCCTCGCCTGCCTCTTGCTCAGCCTGCAGCAGGGGTGGCGTTTGACCTCCTGCCCTCCCTACCCCCCTGCCCTCCTTTCGGTGTTAGGCGTGACGCTGACCCATAGTTTTGCAGTCCCTTCAAGCTGACGGGCGGTCCTCACAGGCTGGGACCAGAGCTGCTGCATTGCCAACCACCCTGCATTCATCCTAAACTGAAATAAACCATCTTGTCCTTGAACTCGTCTGCTCTGGGCTGAGAACAAAATCCCAAGGAAAAGGTCTTTTGGGTGGTGAGTTTGAACCCATGGCTTTTCTTTTTGGTGGGTACTTGTCCCTCCTGGTTTGCATGTACCCTTACATTCCATGCAGGCTGCCCACTCTGTCCTGGGAGTGCTGGTGCGGGACCCCAGAGAGCTCGCACCCAGGTGCCATCCATCTGCTTGTGGACCCGCAGGTGCACACCTGACTGCCCCCTCCCTCAAGTCCAGGGCACTGAACCAGCAGGGACCAGAGGGGTTTGCTCTGGCCTCCTGTGGACCCAACTTCCTCCTCAGCCTCAGTCTGACTTCCATTCACTTCTGTTCGGGGGGGTCTATGCTCCCACATTAGGGAACTTGCCCACCTCATCTACGACTTCCCCTAAATCCCTGGTCCCCAGGAGGAGACCTAGGGCTTGTTCCTCTGTGTGTGAAGTGCTGCCTGTGGATGCAGAGCACAGGGCGGCCCCGGAGAGCAGCTCCCCAGAGCACACCTGCCTCCTCTCCCTGCAGCATCACACGGGGCCAGTGGCTTCCCCCAGGGGCCTGGCTGACGAGGCGCACCTGCAGAGGGGCTGGTTTGTGTGATGGGAGATGGCTCCCCAACTCCGGGTCCCTAGAGTGATCCGGCACCAGCCCAGCCCATCGCTGACTGGTCCTCTCCACTGCACCTGCATCAGGGAAGCGCCTTGCTCGTTTCAGCTCAGAGGGCCCGTACCTGAGCTGAGGTTAGCCCGCCGCAGCATTAACTGTAAAGAGCGGTTATCCTCCTGGACAGAACACTACCCACCAGGCAAAATGATTACACGTACAGCTCAAATGGTGCTGATCAATAGAAATGAAATGTGAGACAATTTAATGTCTCCATCACCGGAAACAGCAGGCCCCGGGTCCCCTCCTCAGCAGCCCAGCCCCTCAGCTCCACAGGGTGAGCTCTGCAAGTGTGGGATGGTCCAGGTGCACTGCTCTTTTCCCTTTCCCCGCACAAGCAGGATGTCCTTGCCCAGGCCGCCCAGCGGGCTGGACTGTGCCGCAGGAACGCGCCCCCGCGGCTCAGGCTGGCGCATGGTGCTGCAGGCCCAGGGCTGGCCAGCAGGGGCTCTGCGCCGCGGGGACGCGGGACTGGCCGCCCGGCGTTTGCTGTGCGGGTTGTTGCTGGTCTTGCGGGTCGTGCTTCAGACCAGCAACCAAATGCCTGGGCTCAAGTCACGCCGCCCTTCCACGCACAGCTCGCTGGCGGAGCTCCTTACGTGGCCACCAGGAACGGAGCCCGGACCCCGAGCCGTCGGCGGAGAGCTGCAGGCGCCGGTGAGCAGCATCAGTGCAAAACACGCTGGTGTAAGAACCGGCTGGGTCTCGGACAAATCCAAGAGATCGGCTATTTAGTGCAATCCTGTCGGGGATTAAAGAAAAACAGCCCCCGAGGCGTGTCTATTTCTTTAAGACGTGTGTGACCTGCCCCAAACACACGCGTTTCAGAGGCTCAAAGCAATCTCTAGATGCGCCAAGAGAGTGGAAGGCCCCATCTCGTGCCCAAACTTCCCCTCCACTGGCAGTGACTCCGGTAACACTGAACCACCTGGGTGTGTAATCTCCAGGCGGGCAAATGGGTTGGGTGATTAGTTTCAGTCAAAAGGAGAAAGGCTGACTCGATTACTATCATACCTCTTCTCAGAGAACCCCTCTCCTCAGGACTCGGGCTGGGTGCTCCTGTCACTCCTGCTCCCTGAGGTCCCCGGCCTCTATGGGAGCTGGATGAGCGCTCCTGTCTGCTGTGTGGCCTCAGCCAGGTGTCCTGGGCTGTCCTCCGCAGAGGGTAGAGCCGGCGTCAGGGAACAGGAGGCCACGAAATCGGGGCTGCACCAGGCCCCGAGGCTCAACATTCATACATGCCTGTAGAAAGCTTATTTCAAAGTCGTTTTTTATTCAACTGTTATTCAGCAATATACAATACAGTGTATAAACAAGTGTCTGACTTTGTTTCCAATGTTTATTTAAAAATAAATATTATTGACAGTGAATTTTAATTATGATAAGATGTATCTTTTTTTAATCAAATGTCTCAAAAGAAATAATTTAATAAAAAAGGTAAGCCCCCAAAGGAAAAAAATTTAAAAAATTCCTAAACACAATAACCTACTAAAAATATTCTGCTTTGTCAGAAAGGCTGTGGCCCAACATTTTCATATCATATCCTAGACATAATCGCTCAACAGTTCGTGCAAAATGAAGACATGGAGGCGAAGTTGAAAAAAGAAAAGTACACGGCACGGGAGTCACGGGCCCTGGCGCAGGGCACAGCCAGCCTCCACTTCCTCGGAAACTGGATGCGCTCCCCAGGTGTTCTACATTTGTGCAACTCCCCCAATATGATTTATTTGATTTCCACATGGACTCTGTCATGCTTCTCAGGCTCTGTGTTTATCCGGCAACATGGTCCTCACCTGGGGTCTGGGCGGTGGTGTGGCCCCACCGAGGCGCCCAGGATGCAGGATGCAGTGGATGTCAGTGCCCCACCAGCAGGCCAAGGAACTTATGCAGAGCTAACAGGAGCAGGGACAGGAGCGGGTCTGTGGTGTAGGTGGGGCCGGTGCCTGCAGAGGACGAGAAAACATCACGCTTAGCACCTGATTCACGAGAACCTAGCGGGGGAGCAGACAGGCTCATGAAACTTCCCACAGGCTGGGCCTCTGGACTGACTGCTGTGTGGCAGCTGTTTCAGGAGCCTGCTGGACACTGGCACCTGGCTTCAGGCAGGTGTGCTAGAGTAAAAATCAAGTCCAAGTCATTATTTTCATTGAATAGAGAGACAGTATGCTCCCTTTCCAACCCGTCCCTAATACTATGCTGCAAAGTTCCCAACTTCTGCATTTAAGGCCCAACTTCCCCTCCTCCAGGAAGACTCCAGGATTGCACATAACTTCAGCCCCTCCAACTCATCTGAACTGCCTAGATGCTTGCTAACGCTGTCTCAAGCATCCTGATGTTTCCATGCCAGTCCAGCGCTTGGGGTCAAAGTAGGGAGCTCAGAAATCACTAGTTGGTGGTGGGTGGGTTAGGGTCCCTGAGGAGTGGTCCTAGCACATTCGGGTGGGAGGTCGCTGCCACCTGGTCTCCAATGCAGTCATTAACTCGGGCCCTTGGCCTGCCACTGGGATGGTCACATGTGCCTTCCTCCTGCCGCACCAGAGCTGCCTGCCCAGCTCCCCATCTGTCTGTCACTGGGGTCTTCATTCGCTGGAAGTAGAGGAAAGCCTGCCCAGGAACCCCAGGCTTCTCACCTGGAAGGCAGGGTGCTTCCCCCAGGGTTACTGAGAGGAGGGGTGCTGAAGCTGCCCAAACCCAGACAGCAGTGCCAGCCCGCTGAGCTGGCTGCATTCATGGAAACCGCTGCCACTCACCTGGCCCATCAGACCCCCCCACGCCGGGCTGGAGCTCCACCTCCAGGAGGCGGCGCAGGAGGCCCTTCCTGTGCAGAGCAGGTGTAGAACCGCCTCCGCTTAGCTGCCCATGGGAGCTGCTGCCCTGTGGCTTTCCTGAACCCACAACTCCTTTCTCCATGTGCAAGAGCCATTAGTCTTCCTAACCAAGGCGTTTCCCCCAATCCCTAATCATCCTTGCTCTGGTGGTAACTGTCCTTGTCCCAGGGTTTGCTCCCCAGGCCCCAGTCTCCCCTGTAAAAGGAGGGGTCAGACCAATGACCTGCGTCCTTGTGATGCCAGGGCTCCATATCTCATTTTGGGAAACAAGGGTATGCTCAATAATCTCAATGAAAGGAGGGGCAGACCTGCCCACCGTGCCCATCTCATTTCCAAACACAGTTCTGTGTCCCCTGAGCAGCACAGGACAGGATGCATCCAAATGCGCTCACACTCCCCGTTGGATATTCAGATAGTCGTGACCCTGGCCTTCCCCGAAACCTGCCTCAAGTCGACACTTGCTCGATGCCATTCACCAGCGGGAAGCACAGGGGTGCAGTGTTGCCCCCCAAACACGGGTCCTCCTTTGCTGCATTCACTGTGGCCTATCATTGGGACGGATGAGGGTGGACGTGGGGACGGATGAGTTGATGGATGGCCAGGTGCCTGGTGGAATTCGCCTGGGATCAGGTGCTCAGAAAACAGGGGTGTGGCCGGCAGAGAGATGCCTTCTGGGCACACAGGGCTTACCGGCACCCAGATCTCCTGGCTCAGGTCTTTATGCCCCAAAAACCCTGACACTCAGGCTGTGCAGCTGAGACACAGTAGCCACAGGAGGAGTTTAGAAGTACATGTGTGAGCTCCGGACCCTCCAGGTATGCAGGGGACAGGACAGCAAATGGGCTGAGAGGCAGGTGGACACGGCCTGGGGAGCCGTAGGCGCAGCACACGGAAGGACACATTTTAATTTACCGCAAATACTGCAGATGGGTCTTTCCCATTATTACAGTCTCACCTCTAATAAAAGTTTCAAAGCTGCAGAAAGCTTTCGAAAGACCCTGGATGGAAACAGCAGGCCTGCTGCTCTGTGCTGGGCCAGGGCAGGAGCAGCTGGGGCTGGAGGGGTGGCCCTGAAAGACGGGTCTTGACAGCTGAATGGGTTAGAATTCAGGAGTCTAGCAGCTCAGTATCTCCTCTCCCCACGTGCTGTCTCCTTGGAGGGACAGGGACAATTGTCTGGCACTTGGCTGCTGGGCCCCCAGTCCCTGTCCTGTTTCCTGGAGTAAGCCTGGGCTGCCCCCTGCTGCCTGGGGCTGACCTGGCCCCTCAAGGCAGGGGTGGAGGGTGCCCTGGGCTCAGCTGAGGGAGTCTCCTGTCCTGGCCTCTTTTATGATGTGCCTGTGTTCCTGGGGACAGGGGGCGTGGGGGCTGCATGCTGGCTGGATGCTAACGGCCTTTCTCCACTTCATCTTTTCCTAAGAGGCACCAAGAATAGACCTGGGGCACCGAGGTCATCTCTCAGGATTACGCTGCACCATCAGGCTGCTCGAGAGTCAGGGAGGCCTCTGAAGGGCTGGGTGCTGATTCAATCTTTTTTTCTTTTTTAAATATATCTTTATTGATTTCAGAGAGAGGAAAGGAGAGGGAGAGAGAGAGATAGAAACATCAATGGTGAGAGTCATTGATCGGCTGCTTAGCCCGCAACGCAGGCATGTGCCCTGACCGGGAATCAAACCCTGATCGCCTGGATCCTAGGTCGACGCTCAAATGCTGAGCTACGCTCGGTCGGGCTCATTCTTTACATTACACAAGTATCACTAGTGTGCTAATCATCTTAAAGAAATGAAAGCCCTGTGAATATGGACTTCTATCGTTTGGATGGTGAGCAGGGTAAGTGGCCTTTTGCACTCATCTGGGAAGAGCATAGCGCCCAGCCCCCACCGAGAGCAAAGGCGTTTCCATTCAGCCAGAGCAGAATTCCAAAGGCCCCATCAGATCCAGGAACCTCTGAGGTCACTCAGCATCTCGGGATGTAAGTGAGGGAGGAGGCTTTGCCTAGGCCATCCTCTGGGACCCTCTCTCTGACCACACTATCCTCAGGCCAGACCTGTGACTCAGGCTCTGGGGGGTGCAAGGGTGGCAGCTGGTCACGCCCTCTGACCTGGACTCCCACAGACATGGGGCACTGAATGGGCGACCCCCCCCCATGGGCATCTGGATCACAGTGGGCTGCTCTGATGACCACTGGGGACAGCCTGCCAGGGCTCCTCTCCCACCACCTGTCCTGCCCGCCGTTCCAGGACCATGGACGGTCCCCTCGGCCTCTGCTGTGGTCTGCAGCCTGTCACACTGGCTGTGGACAGGACCGAGCTTCAGCCCCAGACCTGGCTGGTTCTATCACCATTTCAGGCCTGCTGGTGGCCCAGGAGCTGCAGCCAGGAGACAGTACCCCTCAGTCTGGGATTGCTCAGAGGCTGCTTTTTGTTGTTGTTGTGATAGCTTAACAACTAAGATTTATTTCAAGTTTGAGATGAGTGAGCAAAATTCAAATACAATTGAGGCCTGGCTCTGCTCAACAGGCCGGCTCTGGCGCTGGCAGTCTGGGCCGGGTGGGAGCTTGGCCTTGCCCCATCCAGCACTGCGCTGCAATACCCACACACTTGTGCAAGTACCAGCCTCAGGACAGAGCGGCTGCCCCAGTAAGCATAGCTGTCCTAACACAGGACAATGACAAGGGTCTCCAGTGCAGGCCCATCCAGTGTCCCAGAGCAAGGCCACTTGCTGTCACAACACATCTTTTGAGTAAGGGCTTCTTGGCTAGAGCATTTAGCAAACCTGGTGAGCCCTTTCAGCATGCTGATCAGTTCCCCTTTTGCCGTGTCTGAGAGGGCCAACCCCAAGTGGCAACACTGAGGTTGGCTGGCATCTCCTACAGAGCCCAGGACCAGGTGGCCAAGCGAGGATTCAGACTAGCCTGCAGAGGGTTCGGCTTAGTGCACACAGTCTTAAGAATTGTAAATTATAATCCAACATTATGCAGAAGGAGGCATTTACATAAAAGCACAGATTCAGTGTCGACCAGGAGGCCCCAAACCCAGCACCCTGGGCCTGTCTTCCCCCTGAGCTACACAACCAACAGCCTCTGCTCTTCTTAGAAAAGATTCCCCACTCGCTGCTCCCTTGACCCCAACTTGGGCCCAGGGTGGCTGCCAGGTATTGCCCTGGCCCCCATGCAGTTGGCCTCCCTTTGCCCAGCCGCTCACTTGTCTCCACCCCCAGCCTGGCCCTTGGTGGCTGGCTGAGTTTGCCATCTCGGAGCCAGCTCTGGTGCAGGATCCAGGAGGCCAGGCTTTCGTCCCACCTTTGCCCCTACGTTGCTGTGATGACGACGGGGGGCTGGCTCTCCTCACCCTGACATTCCTGATGGCTACCCATGCCCACCCTGCCCTGGCTCTCTGACATCCCCAGACGCTGTGCTGGGCGGGCCAGGTGGCCCAGCCGCAGCTGAGTGGAAAGATGTCACCTTGGGAGGAGGCTGCTTCCCTTGCTGGCGTTTTAATTAAAGCCTCTTCGTGGGTATTTATTCAGAGGGAGTCAGCGAGGAATAGTGGAGCTAACAAAATTGGGTAGAATTTCTGCTGTAAAATTAATGTGAGCTGGTAACTAGGGCAAAGACTGGGAACAACAAATGCTATCGGTTTTAGAGGAAACAGATATTTGACAGGAAAGTTGAATGGAGAGGCAGGGGTGCAGGACAGCGGGTGAGATGTGGGTCCCTCAATGCTATGCGGTTCCACCCTCCTGGCCCGTCCCACCCCAACCTTAGGCAGCTGGCCCCTGGGTTTGAAGACAAACCTCTTGGTAGGAGGTGTCCACAGGGGTGAGGCCCACGACAGCCTCAGGGAAGCAGTGGGAGAGGCCGGGGAGCAGGGCAGAGGCTCCTGCTGCACAGGTTTTAGCGATCGCTGCCTGTGTTCTCCACTCGCATGGCCCGAGTTCAGCAGTGACCTTCTGAAGCATTTCCCTGCCCTCGTGCCCACCTCCTGCCTCACACACTCTTGGAGAACTCACCTAAGATACGGAAACTTTATGGGTTCCTTCCACCCACAGGAGAAAGAACCATTGTCTCAGGGCCACACATCCTCTCCAACACCCCCCACTGCTCACCTCCACCA